CGGTCTCAGATCGGCGAAGCGGAGAGCACCAGTAACATACTGCCCGATCTGCTGCTCAATCGTGTGTTGGAGGCTGAGATGCTACTGGATACTTTCTCTGATAAGGTAACTACGGGTTGGCCATCGGCTGGCTACATCTGTGGACCAGTGGACGTTAGCTGAAAGGATGATGGTGGTGCTTTGACGACGTCACCGGCTATCGGCGATGTCATCGTTGCCTGGTCGTCAAGGATATTGAGCTTTCACGTTTGCCACGTTTCAGGATAAAAACTTACTGCATACGAATAACGCCGAATATCGTTTGCGACAGATGGTCGACTGGTCGAGAATCGTTCCGCATTTCCAAGAGTTGCCGACCGACGATCAGGCGCTTCTGCTGCAGTCAGGTGCGGTCGATCAGAAAACTTTGCGTTGTTTTGATGACCCAGTTGAAGGCTGATTTAAGGCTGGAACGAGCTGATCCTTGTTTCGATCGCATATGGTCTTTCTGAAAATAGAGGCGCGATTCTGATGGCATCTCAGAGCAAAAACCGCAGCGCTGGTGAGAAAATGAAGCTGAACGAACTCTATAAACGCGTCATCAATGAGCTGACGGTGAAAATGACCCAGCTGAAAGTGGACCGTGCCGAGCTTGGATGTCTTCGCACGATCATTCTCTATAATCCTGGTGAGCATCGACCGTTATTACTTCGTGCTTTCTGTGGTTTCAGCCTGATTTGTACTTTCAACTGTTCCCCTCGAACCTAACTTCACCTTTACCAGGTAGTCGGAAAGGGGGGTCGCAGTCTTGGATCGCACACACCGCAAGTTGCATGGGATTTTATCCGTTGCAATCGGTTACCGTAGCCTATCGGTGACGACACGCCATGAACTCAAACACGGTCAGCCAACGAGGCAATGGCATTTGGAACTGATAAGTCTCCCTTCCCCTATGCCTTTAAAGCAGATTTGCCTGGCGAGAAAGATATTCTGACTCTAAGCCATGACTGAAGAATTGGGCTGTTGTTTCAGTCTACCTGCTTATATCACCAGATGGCATTATGCGCAGCGTCTAATTTGCTGTACGCAGAGTGGATTACAATTTTGCTTCTCAATGCACAGAGTCAAGTGCCATATGTGTGCTATATCGATTGACACCCATACGTGAATTGAATAACATGACATAAGATTCTTGAGCTCTGACAAGATTGAAGCATCGTTCTGTAACATGGATTTCAATACAAGTTCCCTCTTCAAAGAAATTACTTCTTAGGATCAATGAACTAGTATATCTTATTATTCTCAATTCCATATTCATGGTGATTGTAACTTGTTCCATTTTGTTCATGAATCTAATATCGGAGAGAAGGCTTCGGGAAGATTAAAACTCAATGTTATATAGGTTTCACTTTAAAACGTAGCCACGATAACTCGGTAGATTGATTAGTTATCATCTGTATACTGTGTAAGTTCAAGCGATAATCGATTCAATGGCAGAGTCTTTAAATTCAAGTACACCTGTTCTTCTTGAGATTAAACTTAATTTTAAATAGTTAAATAAATGCTACATTAGAGGCAGGATTTTGTTCATACATTTGTGGTCGTAGTTCTTTATGGTCTACCACCTTGTAGAAACGTATCGATTATGTTTACAGCAAACATAAACAAAAAGGCTTCACGTTTTCCCCGCTCCTCTCATGTTCACCATCTTTTCAAAGTCTTTACCGTTGTCGACCCACAAACTTATGGAAGTGTAATCACGGACCGACGGTTCTGAGAAGCCTTAACTTCTGCGAAGCAGTTCGAGTGTCTTTTGTAACCTGCTTCGAGAGAAATAAATGTTACTCACATTGACCTCGCCGTAAAATTTCTTTCTAAATTATCAACTTCGCATCACCCATTATGCTTTTGGCAATTTTATCCGTCGCATCAGAATTTATCGAGGAGTTCGCTAAGGAGATACTATCTCACCAGCGCCGCTTTTCGCCACGGACTTGTAGTCACTGCTATCGGCTAAACTGGCGCAACGGCATCAGTACTGACAGAGAAGAGCTAACGCATATGCGATCTGCGGACGATCGCATCGTCTTCGCAAAAGGAACCTAGCCAGCGGTTTGGAGGTCAATTTCTCCAAGAAAAAACGGATGTGGAACGAGATCTGCTCTGAGTCCTTGGGTGCAAGAATTTGAAAGAACTCGAATACCTCACTAGGCCATGCATGCCTAGCCATCAGGTAGACCGGATGAACTGGTCAGACGGGAAAGAAGAAGAAGAAAGGCTACATGGGCAAGAATTAACCCAGCAAAACTTTGTGACTCGGCAGTGAGCTGCTCATGCGGGCGGAGAAAGAACTGTTCGATTCAACCGTCCTACAGGTCATGAGGTGCGACGCTGAATGTTTGTCTGCTACTAAAGCCAAGGAGAACAAACTGATCGTCAAGCAACGAGCGAAGAAGCTAAGAATATGCCAGATCTCTCTCCAAGATTGCGTAGAAAGAGCACACATTCGACAGCGGACTGGATTAACTGACGTGATTTCTGCTTCTACAATGTAAAGGAACGTGGGCTAGCCATTTTCCTCACATGAGAGACAACAGGCATACGTCAAGAATTTCCAACAGGGTTCCGCCGAACCTTCAACGTCGTCTCGACGGCCTAAAAACTGCTGAGACGATCAAATGGTCAAATTACTCATCAGAGGCAAAAAGCGGGAATAGAGAGTACTGGCGAATCGTAGGCCTGGTGTTCATAGTGCATCCATGACGAAAATAAATCGTCGAATAGATAAGAGATAGTTTATTTAGGTACTTGAAAAAGAGCAGAGAGTTTGAAAGAATTAAGAGAGCTCATTCTGCTCGTGGAACCCATGTCTTTGGAATGTTTCAAGCAGCGGGTTCGTCCGTGTAGTGAATTTTCACTGCACAAAGTCAGCTATTCATGGTGATATGTCTTAGTATATTTGGTGATGAGCGCAACTTTGCGACAAAGAAACTTTTTCGAATGAGTGGATTTGCGGGGAACCAAGTGCTCGACTGTCAGACAGTACTTTTCTATATTTAAAAGACGTCAAGAAATGAGAGAGTCCTGTCTTCGCCAATTAAAATTTGAGGATTAGTTTTGCTTCAGGTCATGGATCGATTAGTGGGTGCAAAATAATGACGTGAAACGGTATCGAGAAGAGCTGAAAAACGTTGTGCTGAATTAAATATACTAATAACTTTTGCTGAATTTCATGTAGCTCTACTTTCAGCTTAACTATATTTTCTTCATTGTTCTTAACTGCCTGAAGGACAAGATCAAAGTGGTCGGAAGTAGAAAATTGTGAGGAATTACGTTCTGGAAAGGTAGCCCGTTGTATGTTTCAATCTGACGATTCGCGCAGTCAAAAGTGTCTTTGGCTTTCTACATGGCCACGACCATTACACTGGAAGACAGTTCCTTTTATCCAGTTTGATTTTAGTGATTTTGGCCGGCAATGCTGCTGAACTGAACGGTGAAAGCCCCGGAACACACGTTTCTCAGGTCTTTTAGTCGCAATTCGCCGTCATCCTTCATTCGAACGCTTCTGATTTTTATGTCGTTGCAGCAGACATAGTTTCAACAATTTTATATCCATATGCTTAACCTGTAGTCACGTCTGTCCTACTTTTCGC